GTGTGTCTGTCTGCCTGCCTCTATTTCTTTCTGTCTATCTGTGTGTCTATCTATCTGATGCCTCTGTTCCTCCTCTCTCTGTGTGTCTGTCTGCCTGCCTCTTCATATATCTGTGTCTGTCTATCTGCCTGTTATATAATCTGTGTGTCTGTCTCTGCTATCTGTGTGTCTGTCTGCCTTCCTCTATTGTGTGTCTGTCTATCTGTCTGCCTTGACAAATCTGTGTCTGTCTGCCTGCCTGTTCTCTGTGTGTCATGTCTGCCCATGTGTGTCTGTTCCTGCCCTATTCATCTGTGTGTCTGTCTGTGTGTCTGTCTGCCTGCCTCGTTCTACTCTATCTGTGTGTCTGTCTGCCTGCCTCGTTCTACTCTATCTGTGTGTCTGTCTGCCTGCCTCGTTCTACTCTATCTGTGTGTCTGTCTGCCCTGACAACTTATCTGTTGTCTGTCTGTCTTATCTGTGTGTCTGTCTGTCTGCCTCGTTCTACTCTATCTGTGTGTCTGTCTCTCCTATCTGTGTGTCTGTCTGTTTCTGCCCTGTCTGTCTCTCTAGTGTCTGTCTGCCCTTGTTCTACCTATATTTGTTCTGCCCTGTCTGTCTCTCTAGCTCGTTCTGCCCTGTCTGTCTCTCTAGCTCGTTCTACTATATATATATATATATATATATATAGAAGGTAATTGAATGATTTCACTGAACTGAAGTAATATTCTTATTGATGAAATTATATATGTGTGGGAAGGAAGACAGAAATATAAATCTTGGTTATAATTATGCACCAAGGTAAAAAGCCAAAGATGTGTGACTGCTGAATTTTAAAGTTTTAAAATTTTTAATTAAAGAATTTTAAATTTTGCATTCCCACATCTTTAGTGGTTCCCCCGGTGACTAATTATAACTAATGCTTATATTTATATCTTCTCTCCTACACACGCACACATACACACACACACATAATTCCATACAGTAAAAACAGGACTTCAATTCAATGAAGTCCTTTTTGAGGCTAAAATGTTTTATAGATGCTTTATGATATATATATTCAAATTCTCCCATATATATATATATATATATATATATATATATATATATATATATATATATATAATATTGGTCAATACACGTGTACACACACACACACACACACATATATATATATATATATATATATAAATTTCCAAGAGGATAGAATCCAGGTAGAACTCAATGTCCAGAACACAGTTTGTTTTTTTTTATACCCGGAGTTATATTTTCCGATTTCTTTTTGAATTTGTAGGTCTGATGAATTGGATCATGATTACAATTCCAATGTAATAAATTATAACCATGGAATATTAATGTTTGAGTTTTTTATTTATATATATATATATATATATATATATATATATATATATATATATAAAATAAATTTTTAGTGGTACAGAATTTAATAATAGATAGGAAACAACCAAATATATAAGGCATTTTTAAAAGAAAAAGTTAAAAAAAAAAAAAAAACAACTGGTTTTGTCCCAGGATTTATCAAGTTTATTTTTCTGCGAATAGAAAATTTAGAAAGCGTGTTAATTAATTTAAATTAACGAATCGAATGGAAGAGAGAAAAAAAAAAGAATTTCAAGGAACTAGAGTCCAATAACATTCAGACCCAGTAAGCATTCCCTCTGTTTACAAATAGAAGGCTCACGGGATCTGATATACAAAGACTCTAGAACCTTGAGGTGAAATGTGGAGTGGGACCTAGATAAAATCAAAAAACTGCTCCTTGTTTACATGTGTCCCCCGGTCTGAGACTATTAAGATGTGTTGCGATATGTTGTATCGTACCTCTTTGTCTCCTCCGGATTTTCTTGAGGGTGTATTTGTTGAGCTTATGATGTTCACCACTGTGTCTGTCGAATTTAGTTTTAATGATATTATGTATCGGCAGATCGACAGGGTAGCTATGGGTCCAGCATTGGCGAATATTTTTGTCAGGTTTCATGAGGCTTCCTTATTTTCTTGTATTGGTTGTCCTCTTATGTATCATTGTTATGTGGATGATACCTTCTGCCTCTTTAATAATGAGGCTGAACCTGACTTGTTTCTCACCAAATTAAACTTTGTCTATTCTGCTCTTTAGTTCACCATAGAAAAGGAATTCAATTCTTGTTTCCTTTTTGGATGTTCTTGTTCATAGGATCATTGACAAGTTTGAGACTTCTGTATTTAGGAAGGCTACTTTCTCAGGACTTTATACGTGTTAGGACACTTTTTGTCCCAGACAATAAAAGATTAATTTGATTAAGGCCTTAATTCATAGGGCACTTAAGTTATGTTCTGATGGCCTTCTCTGCGGTGAAATTGAGTTTGTTAGAATGACACTATCAAAAAACAGATATCCTTTGGATGTTTTGGGCTCCGTTATCCATGATGTCATTAATAAATTTCATAGGGTTAAGCTGCAATTTGTTGTTAAATGCCCAGTTTATCTGCGTCTTCCCTATATTGGTACAGAGGGTGAGAGTGTATCTAAACGAATATCACATTTGATCAATAGCTGTTATTTTTCGGCAAATGTTAGGGTAATATTTGTTACCCATCCTGTTTTCTCTTCCATTCATAAGGACGTCCTCCCTCCCCATCATGTTAATTCAGTGACTTACCAATACAAGTGTAGTTGTGGACTCTACTATATTTACCACCCCAGGATTTTGAATCTGTCTGTCAGGAAGATCCAACTAACCAATAGTTCTGGCTCTGCTATTGCTGAGCATATAATAAATAGTAGGAAATGTGTGGTTAATTTTAGTGTGGACCGTTTTTTGATTTTATTAGGTCCCACTCCACATTTCACCTCAAGGTTTTAGAGTCCTTGTATATCAGATCCCGTAAGCCTTCCCTTTGTAAACAGAGGGAATGCTTACTGGGTTGGAATGTTATTGGACTGTAGTTTCTTGAAATTCATTTTTTTTTCTTCCATTCCATTCGTTAATTTAAATTAATTTACACACTTTTTAAATATTCTATTCCCGGAAAAATAAACTTGATAAGTCCTGGGACGAAACAGGTTGTGTTTTTTTTTTTTTTTTTAGCTTTTTCTTTTAAAAATGCCTTATAAATTTTGTCTTTTCCTATCTATTATATATATATATATATATATATATATATATATATATATATATATATATATAATTTTACATTATCACTGTACCTTTTTCAAATGTTTTAATGATGACTACAACTGGCAATTTTAATGCATTGTTTTAAATGTGGCTTTGAAACTGCTTGCAAAATTTTTGAGATGGTTGGAAATGTACTGATATCTGACTGTATGTCACAAACTGGTTTAAGTCTTTTAATTATGGTGACTTGTCTTTTGAAATGATGCCCAGAAGAGAAAGATGATCAGTTAATTGATTTTATACATTAAAATGCAAAGGCCCAACCACGAGTCCCTTTTCCAAAAAGCTTAGCTCATCAAAATATAACGTATGTAGAGCATTACATAAGCTTTGAATCATGTGTAGTATCTCTTGAGATATAAAAGCAAAAATTCTTTTGATTTATACAATAAAATTTCTTGCAAAATTACACACGATATGAAATCATTTCAAAATGTTTGAAACACAGACAACCAGCTGGAAAGACATAAAACAAAGTTTAGAAATTATATTTATCAAAGACAAATATAAGAAACATTCTTTTTTTTTATGCAACCTGTGTTTTTTATTGAACTTAGTCAACCATAAATATTGTTTGATTCTATTGATATCATTTGTCATGAATATATTTTTTTTCATCATGATGACACATTTATTCTTTCTTTTTTCTATTCTACAGATAACATAAAATTTCATTGTAGCTGAAACAATCCTTACAATTAAGATTTACATTTTTTTAGTATTGGAATAGAATTAGATGGCAACATGTTTCATAGTATTGTTACTGGTAACAGCTGTGGACCAACTTGAAGGGTTATTTTAATTATCAGTAAAGTTTCAGTTCTTCATCACAGTTGATTGGCTGATCCATCTTGTCAGCCTTGGTCAGTTTTAACTAATTCTTTTTGCATCAGTTTCAATATCCTGCTTATTTGGCTTATAGCTGTCTTTATTGGTCAGTTTTATATAATTCCTTTTGAATCAGTTTCAATATTTACCTTATTTGGCTTACAGCTGTCTTCCTTGGTCAGTTTTATCTAATATCAGTTTCAATTTTATTTTATTTGGCTTATAGCTGTCTTCCTTGGTCAGTTTTATCTAATTCCTTTTGAATCAGTTTCAATATTTACCTTATTTGGCTTATAGCTGTCTTCCTTGGTCAGTTTTATCTAATACTTTTTGCATCAGTTTCAATATTTACCTTATTTGGCTTATAGCTGTCTTCCTTGGTCAGTTTTATCTAATACTTTTTGCATCAGTTTCAATATCCTACTTATTTGGCTTATAGCTGTCTTCCTTGGTCAGTTTTATCTAATTCTTTTTGCATCATTTCAATTTCAATATTTAGCTTATTTTGTTTTGGTCTATTTTATCTTTCTTTTTTTGGTCAGTTTTATCTAATACTTTTTGCATCGCAGTTCTTAATTTTATCTACCTTATTTTGGCTTATAGCTGTCTTTCTTGGTCAGTTTTATCTAATTCTTTTTGCATCAGTTTCAATATCTACCTCATTTAGCTTATAGCTGTCTGTTTTGGTCTGTTTTATCTAATTCTTTTTGCATCAGTTTCAATATCTACCTCATTTGGCTTATAGCAGCCTGTCTTAGTTTTATCTAATAATTTTTGCATCAGTTTCAATATCCTCCTTATTTGACTTATAGCTGTCTTTCTTTGTCTGTTTTATATAATTCTTTTTGCATCAGTTTCAATATCCTCCTTATTTGGCTTACAGCTGTCTTTCTTGGTCTGTTTTATATAATTCTTTTTGCATCAGTTTCAATATCCTCCTTATTTGGCTTATAGCTGTCTTCCTTGATCAGTATAATCTAATTCCTTTTGAATCAGTTTCAATATCTACCTTATATGGCTTATAGCTGTCTTTCTTGGTCAGTTTTATCTAATTCTTTTTGCATCAGTTTCAATATCTACCTTATTTGGCTTATAGCTGTCTTTTCTTGGTCTGTTTTATCTAATACTTTTTGCATCAGTTTCAATTTCTTATTTGGTCTAGCTTTTTTTAATTTCATTTTTTTTGCATCAGTTTCAATATCTACCTTATTTGGCTTATAGATGTCTTTCTTGGTCTGTTTTATCTAATTCTTTTGAATCAGTTTCAATATTCACCTTATTTGGCTTATAGCTGTCTTTCTTGGTCTGTTTTATCTAATTCTTTTTGCATCAGTTTCAATATCCTCCTTATTTGGCTTATAGCTGTCTTTCTTGGTCTGTTTTATCTAATTCTTTTTGCATCAGTTTCAATATTCTCCTTATTTGGCTTATATAATATAATCGCTGTCTTTCTTGGTCTGTTTTATATATCTGATTTTTTTGCATCAGTTTCAATATCTACCTTATTTGGCTTATAGCTGTCTTTCTTGGTCTGTTTTATCTAATTCTTTTTGCATCAGTTTCAATATCCTCCTTATTTGGCTTATAGCTGTCTTTCTTGGTCAGTTTCATCTAATACTTTTTGCATCAGTTTCAATATCCTCCTTATTTGGCTTATAGCTGTCTTCCTTTGTCAGTTTTATCTAATACTTTTTGCATCAGTTTCAATATCTACCTTATTTGGCTTATAGCTGTCTTTCTTGGTCTGTTTTATCTAATTCTTTTTGCATCAGTTTCAATATTCTCCTTATTTGGCTTACAGCTGTCTTGGTCTGTTTTATATAATTCTTTTTGCATCAGTTTCAATATCCTCCTTATTTGGCTTATAGCTGTCTTTCTTGGTCAGTTTTATCTGATTCTTTTTGCATCAGTTTCAATATCCTCCATATTTGGCTTACAGCTGTCTTTCTTGGTCTGTTTTATCTAATACTTTTTGCATGAGTTTCAATATCCACCTTATTTTGGCTTATAGCTGTCTTCCTTTGTCAGTTTTATCTAATACTTTTTGCATCAGTTTCAATATCTACCTTATTTGGCTTATAGCTGTCTTTCTTGGTCAGTTTTATGCAATTCTTTTTGCCTCAGTTACAGACTGATTTCTTTTTTGAATTGTATGATCATATGAGTTACAAAAGAAAGCATCATTCTCAATTTTGATGTTGACTCAAACCAATAATATATTCCATTTTGAAATTTGATAATGCTTACATTCCTTTGGATCTGAAATTATGATGTAATTATGTTATAGGAAATTAAAAACTTTTCAATCACTATATTTTTATTAAACCTCAAATCTGTGTTATCTTTTATCTTGCTGGAGAAGGGGCAAATGTGGACTGCTGGCTTGTCATAACCACCTGCTTCCGGTATTTGGAACTTGTTAGCGATCTTGGGGAAGGAAAACCCTAATTTTAAGTCTCCACTGCCTTACAGCCATATCCAAACTCTGAAAAGGCTATGAAAGTAAATCTAGATAGAAAATCTGGAAGAGTTTCTGAAGGCTGTTGGCTGGCAAGACAAGTATCTTTTGGGCAATTTCTGCATCCAAGTCATCCCTAAATCTAATTTTTTGTTTTTTTTCTAAGCGTTTCACCCCAAGCAAGGCGGGAAGCCACTAGCACACAAGGGGTTACAGAGCATTGGAGTGAGACCAACTAAGAGTGATAGAGGAAAGGATAAAAAGAAGGATAGAGGATAGATCAAGGCATCTGGAGACATCAATTGACATTACATTTGAATAGTTGGAGATTATAGCTATCAGGGAAACAGGAAAAAGTGAGGGAGATCCACAGACAAGAGGTGCGAGACATGAAGCTATTGGAGCAAAAAACACGGCTACATTTAACAGTTTTGACAGTGAAAGGGTGAGAGCGAGATGCCAGCCTAGTAGAACGCTTAAATTCATGAAGACTTGGAACCAGCGAAAGCAGCTCATTGGAGCAGTTACCATGAAAGAATTTGTAAAAAAAGACAGAGGGAGGCGACAGCATATCTGTGAGAGAGCGACTGCAGACGAGATGCCAGATCAGGGCCAATTACATTGCATATCCGTCTCTGGATCTTATCAAGAACCTTGAGACAAACAGAAAGGGCACCGGGCCATATACGGCAACAATACTCCATGAATGGTTGATTTGTAGATTTGAAGGATCGACTCCGGCAAGAAAAATTTCCCGGCGTGGCACAGGGAGCCAACTTTCCTTGCGATGGACGAAGCTATTGACTCAATGTATTCGTTCCATCTCGGGTCAGCAGTCAATGTGAGGCCGAGTAGTTGCAAAGAGGAACTCTTGAGAAGTTGAGCATCAAGCATTCTAATCGGGGGCAGGGATGGTTCTCTGTGATGAGTAATAGAGAGCAGTTTTGTTTTTGAGGCATTAAAGTTAACCAGCCAATTCCTGCCTCAGTTCACAACCAATTGGAGGTCCTTTTCAAGACAGTCAGGTTAGTTTTGTCAACAACACTAGATTTGTTTTTGAGGCAGGAGTAAATTGTAGTGTCATCTGCGTAGATGTCTGCTTGGGAATCTATGACGTCAGGAAGATCGTTAATGAAGATAAGGAACAGAGTAGGGCCTAGGATAGAGTCTTGGGGAACACCTGCATTTGTGGGATGGGAGCTAGAGGAGAATCCATTGAGAATGACCTTCAATATACAGTTTGACAAAAATGATTGTATTAAGTCGAACAATCGACCTGTAATTCCATAACACTGAAGCTTGCGAAGAAGGCTGGCATGCCAAACCCTATCAAATGCTTTGGAGATATCTAGAGCTACGGCACAAGCTTCTCCATTATTATGAAGTGGTTGGTAAACAATTTCATTGATGGCCGTAAGCACGTCAACTGTAGAACAGGCAAAGCGGAAACCATATTGCTTGTCGGAGAGCAGATCATGGGATGTGAGGTGTTTAACCACTTCAGTGTTGATTAAAGCTTTGAAGGCTTTGTCGAAGTGTGGTAGGAGACTGATAGGATTGGTAATTAGAGGGGTCAGAAGGGTCACCAGAGTTCTTAAAGACAGGAACAATGGATGAAAACTTCCAACAGTCTGGAAAACAAGATTCATTGAGGCAGTAGTTATATAATTTGGAGAGGGCAGGGGCCAGTTCAGGCACCCACATTTCTTCAGGACAATGGCTGGTAACCCATCTCCACCACTAACCTTGTGGGGGTCTAAATTAGAGATAATGCCCAATACTGATGACAGGGTAATGTGTAGCTAGCTCAATAGAGCCTCAGTTCTAAGGGGGAAATCGGGTGTGCCCTGTATTTCTTTGGATCTTGGTATGGCTGAGAAGGGGATGCATGTGGTCTGGGCAACACATGGTCTCCGTATACCATCACCCATGTGTGCACTTTTGAGAGGTCGCTCGTCACCAAAAGATTTAATTTTGATCAAACAAGGCACTACAATGATCTCATGAGATAGACAGATGCTTAATATCTTAATGAAATGTCAAATCTGTAGCGTTATGAATTTGATTGCTCTAATTTTAATAAAACAAAATAGGTTGGGTGGTATCAGTTGTAGTAAAACTTATTTTCTGTCTTGGTGGGGGAGTAGTTTCAAAATATAACTTGGACTTAGGTCATTTTGGTTAACTTTCTTTTAATGTTGGTTGGAAAAAGAATAACTTTAAAATTTATTGCCACTTTTGACCACCTGAAAATGTAGGATTGCTTTCATAACAATTTTTCTGTTATTTACTGTCCTCTCTGCTTACCATTGTGGATAGATAGTCATTTTTTTAATGCACTTTCATGATTGACGACCTGTAAAAATGAAATCTTTTTTGAGCATGATGGCTGTCAAGCCATGCAACTAAATATATTAAACTGAGTAAAGCAATGGTGTTTACATATGTCATGTACCTTAAAACTCCCATCAACATTAAGCACAAATCTATAAAAAAAAAATAAAGACTAGAATGGAAAATTTGGATTTTGAAGTTGGCTGAAAATGAAGAATTATCATTGTGAAGACAAAAATAAATCAAATACATACACACTTTTCAAAAAATATTCAGTATCTTGGTTGTTACTACTTCTTTGATATGCTGTGTAGGTCAAAACAATGTTACTATCTCCCTGCTGCGCTATCCATTTACACATCCATTAGGTAGGTTACTCACTGTTTTACCTTTAATAGATCCTTTAAAAACCAAATTCTCCAAGCCCTTTTTTCATATTGTTCCAAAAACTTTCACCTATTTCTGATTTTAAGTATGTCTTTTTGCTTCCTTTTTCCTTAAAACTTCATTGTTGCTCACATGTTTCATCCAATGAATTCTTGGCATCATTCTGTAGAATGACATCTCTGCTGCTTCAAATCTTCTCTGTAAGGAAATTGTCCAGCATTTGCATAGCCATATATGAGGATTGATATTATATAGAATACAGTGCTCTTTTCTTTTTTTCTAACAAATCTTTTCTGTTTCTTAATACTTTGTTATACAGAAAGATTCGGTTCTTTTTATTGAGTAACATTGGCATGCATTTAATCCTTCAGCATTCAACACACTCAAGCCCATCCCATAAATATCATTTTTCAAAATCTCACTGTTTGTATGACTTTCGTGTTATTTGTGATGATGATGTCATAGGACTGGTTGAATACTGAGAGCTGATAGTTATGGGGCAAGTTTGGGTGGGTTTGAATGCTAAAGAGTTAAAGTTAACTTATTGGGAGTAGAATGAAGACTTTCCTAAAAATCCTCCCGGTATATAAGCTGGCAATCAATTTTCAGCACTCATTTTAGACTTCATGCAATAACCTGTTTCAAGGATTGAACATGCTGTTAATATTTAGAAAATGACTGAAGTAATAAGTGTTATCTGGGTAGAGCAATAATAGATGATGGAAAATGTGATGCAGAAATCCAAAAATGTATAATAATGGTGAAAGATGTCTTCCAGAAACTAAAAGTATTAAAACATAGGAAAGCATCATTATAAGCAAAGGAAAGAGTACAAAACACAATATAATATCTAATCTATATGACAGTGAATACTGGATAATCTATTCACACATAAAATGACAGTGATGGTTCTGAAGAATGCTGAGAATACCAGAGATAGAACATGTAAACAACAAGGAAGTTTTAAGGAAAATAGAAACTATGATGAAAATAAAACTTACTGTAAGAAAGGCAATTGATGTCTGCATCTAGAAATGATATATCACATAAAAGAATAATAATAATGGCTTGGCTGAACAAGGTGATAAGATGAAAGAAATTTACATTTGTTTGCCACACTCTTTCTTTCTCTCTTGTTTTTTAGCCTCTCTTTATTTTTCTCTTGTTTTTTTTTAGCCTCTCTTTATTTTTCTCTTGTTTTTTTTTAGCCTCTCTTTATTTTTCTCTTGTTTTTTTTTAGCCTCTCTTTCTTTTTCTCTTGTTTTTTTTTTTATTTCTTTTTTTCTCTTGTTTTTTTTTAAAAGCTTTTTTTTTTTCTCTTGTTTTTTTAGCCTCTCTTTCTTTTTCTCATTTTTTCATACCTCTCTTTCTTTCTCTCTTGTTTTTTCATACCTCTCTTTCTTTCTCTCTTGTTTTTTTTCTCACCTCTTTCTTTCTCTCTTGTTTTTTTTTAACCCTTTTTCTTTGTTTTTTTTTTTTTTCTCACCTCTTTTTCTCTTGTTTTTTTTTTCTCACCTTTTTCTTCTCTCTTTGTTTTTTTATCACCTCTTTCTTTCTGGTTTTTTCTTTCTTTTTATGAAAAATCAATATAAATTTTTTTTCCATCTTGTTTCTTTCTGAGTACACAGAAAAATGTCTGCAAGCTGTAGAGTATAATGAGAAACAAATTCTTCATTTTCTTTTAATTTGAAACATGATTGCGGAGACAATATAATTATTAAAACAAACTGCATTTTTATTTTTTTTTATAGAAAATAAAATCTTTTTCCTTTTCAATCTTATTTTAATGACTAATCTTTTAAGCAATAACCTTTGGAGATGTTTAGCCTAAATTTCCAAGATATGATGTTATATGATAAGCTGAACCTCACTAATTCAAGATTCACTGGTCTAGGTGGTTTGATTTTTCATGATAGAGATATGAATCTAGAGTTCATTGGTGTGGAAGTATGAATAGAATATTTTACTGGGAAATCAACAGCTGAGGGAAAAAAATAAGTGTGTATGTGTAAAAGTTAATTTCATTGTCAAAATCTTTATACCATTATCAAGAAGGAAAAATTGGAGAGAATTATGATATAAAAATGATTTTTGTGGATTCTCATGACCATAAAATATTTTAGAAAATGATTGTGTGAAAAATTGTTGAAATTTTAAAGAAATAAAATTGTGTCTCTGTATTTCTGGAATGAAGAGCTTGACAAGTCGACTATTGTTCTCATGTTTGTTGTTATCACAATATTTTGGTGGTTTACCCTCATCAGGTGTATGTCAATCCAGGTAAGCTAAAGAAACTCTGAATTGAACCCTTTATTCAATATAGGGGTGGTGGTAGACCGTTCTCATTTCACTATTCATGTCTAGAGATATCTTGTTTGGTTCTTATTTTTAGTAAAGTTCAGTTATTGCTTGCCCTGTTTCCCCTGAGTCCAAGTACACACAACCTGGGTCAGGGATTGAACTCAGAATTACTATGTCACTAAATTCATGAACCAATGCTTTAATCCACTAGGCTGTTGTCCCATCCTTGGTGAATTTGGGACAATGTGCTGAAACATTTTGATAACAACAACAAAGATGAGGAAAATAATCTGCATGTAAATAGTGTAAATACTAATAATTTGCATTAGAACATTTTTTAGATAAAAACACAACCATTTCAAAAATTTAGCAAAATTTAACAAATTATTGGTTTTTAATAAAAAGTTATGGTACAATATCTTCTGTGTGTCATATCCCTTCAGAACATTACCATCCATGGCTTGCCACAACTTCCTATCTTCTGTAGCTCTTCTTAGTAATGTTTGTCTTTTTACTATCCCTCAAACTTCCTGTTCTATCATCCATTTACAATCTTGTTAGTGTTGTATCTCGTGTTTTCAGATAACAGAGGGAAATAAATAAAGAAGACAAACTCATAGGTAAGTAATGAAACAGAAGGTTTACTACACGAAAGTATACTTAACAAATGACTTAATGCTAACTCTGCTTATTTATATAAACGAACAATTCCATTCATTTATGTCCTATATGACAGGTAGGTTAATAATGGTTTCCCTCTGTCCCTCAATATGTCTTGTGAGTTAAATTTTCCTAGCCTTCTTTCCTCATTGTGTGTTTTAGAAATTTTACCTGTGTCTGTTTTGTTTCCATTTTCCTTAAAACTTCTTCGTTGCTCACATGTTCTGTCCATAGTATTCTCAGCATCCTTCTGTAGAACTGCCTCTCTGTTGCTTCATTTCCCTCTTCATCTGTGAGTAAATTGTCAAGCCTTCACTGCTATATAGAAGAATTGATATTAGCTTGCAGTTCAAGAGTCTTTCCTTTGTTTTAATGAAATATTCCTGTTTCATAATACTTTATTTTTGTACTGTATAAATAAATCTATTTTTCTTTATTTTTTTTATTTTTTTTTTTCCTCTTGTCTCATAGCCATCAATATGATGATAAACTACATCCAGCAGCAAGGCCTCTGATCAGGAGATTGGAGGTTTTGAGGAACATGGAACTACCTCTTAACTGCTGTTGTCCCCAGGTTCGCTCTGACCCGGGTTGGTAGCACCTGCTAGGGTCCCCAGGTTCACTCTGACCCGGGTTGGTAGCACCTGCTAGGGTCCCCAGGTTCGCTCTGACCCGGGTTGGTAGCACCTGCTAGGGTCCCCAGGTTCGCTCTGACCCGGGTTGGTAGCACCTGCTAGGGTCCCCAGGTTCGCTCTGACCCGGGTTGGTAGCACCTGCTAGGGTCCCCAGGTTCGCTCTGACCCGGGTTGGTAGCACCTGCTAGGGTCCCAGCTATGGGGAAAATAGTGAACCCCCAAACAAAAACAAAATACTATGAAAGTATAAAAATATATTTTTATAGTAAAAATACCAATAATACATTTTTATATGAAATAATTACCAACAATGCAATTTTAAAGCAAAATGACCAGCAATACATTTTATAATAGAATTACCAAGAAGACATGTTACACCAAAATGATTAAAAATACATTTTATCTGTAGTCGAATTGCTTTCAAAATATATTCAGTGGAAGCCATAAAATTGTGTTCAAGATATTTAGATTTTGGGATTAAAAAACCCATAGCGGTTGATATGCCACTAAACACAATCATAGTTGATTGTGTTTAGCGGCATATCAACCAGACTTCTGTCAAACAATTTTCTGAACTATGAACATTGTCTCATAGTTCAGAAAATTGTTTGAAAGAAGTCTGGTAAACTTGACCTGGTTTATATCTATATAAGTTGTACAGATATTATTATTACAATACAGTAGATGGCATTATCTTGCCAATTTTGTTCTACTCTATACTTCATTGATTTGGATAATCCTTAATCTGGCACCTGTCTAATTCTAAAATTACTGGATTAGTGGCATTCCACATGTATTATGTTGAACCTATTTTGTTATCCTTATTGATTTTATCACACTTCAGCCACTATACTATCCAGCCTTTCTCAACTGACATATTCAGTATCCTTCTAGTTGATCAAAACCCTTTATTTAATTCATGAGTAGTTGCTGCTCTAATTCCTGTACACAAGCTCAGATTGGCACCAGAAGCAAGAATCGACAGTAACAAGTTGAGATATTTCTTAAGTCCACCAGATATGAGAACAGCATTTCCAAATTAATCAAATAAATCATTGTTTGAACTCAGATGGTTACTAACAACTGCAAACAACTGAATAAGGCCAGAATTTACAGTGGCTAAAATGAGATGAAAACAATCAAGATGTGGAAACTGATTGAACTCAGTTTATTCAGAGGATTTCAATTTCATTCATATTGTTGTAGCATACCTATGGATGATAATGGGTATGTCTCCATTCACATAAATACAGTAGTAAATACTGTATGTTGGTCTGCAGTCAGAGATTCATCTCCAGCTGTGCTGGTCAAACTCTCTGCCTCTGGCTGGAAAGAATCCCCAGACGAGGCTATGTCAAAGGGCAGAGTCTTGTCTCAGGAAACAGCTACCTGACCCCGTTTTATACAGGGCCTACAGAGAATTTTTGGCCGAGCCTACGGGCTTGGATCTGACCATGTGAGGTGGTTGGGAGGTATCCTGCAGTTGGAGTTTCATTGTAGAATTCACTTGACTCACTTCTAGCAGTTGACTACTACTACGCGCTGCTGGCAAATCTTGTATGTGTTGTTCTTGTCCTAAGGATTATCTTTCATTACCAACCTCCGTGTGATTACTCTATTCAGTAACCTTCCCTAGATTACAACACATATTTTTATAAATATATTGGTTGTGTGCAAAAGTTCCTAGTGATTTTTTTTTTTTTTTTTTTTTAACTGTCGAAACCACAGAACTTAACATTTTGAACTTCCTAAAAGAAATAAACCTTTATGCCAAAATTAAAAAAAGAGAACACACCACTCACATGATATTAACAGCAAAACTTGCTTTTTGAACAGGACAAAATGTCAATTGGCTCTGAATAACCAATGAGCAGTTGAAGGACCATTAAATATACAGACCAAACAAACAAAATTTTTAAACTGGAAACTTTTGCATAAACCTCATGTAAATCTTTACTTTAAATAAATTTATGGATAGTCCATATTTTTCTCATGAAGTTCTCATTCATTCAGTGACTTGTACACAGAAAAATATTTTCTCTGAAAGTAATTGACACAAGAAACAAGCAGATTTGAAAATCACAGAAAACAGAAATTAACAAAACCTTGAAAACAACTGTCTTGGATAATCTCAGAACTGACTAATTCTTTACTTCTTGGACAGTAAGTAAGTAATCTGTGAAGTTGCTGAACGTTTTTGGAACCAACTGTTGCAAATATGTACTGGGTGTGAAAGAACCAACTGCATCAAAATGGACATCCTGTGAAGAGACAACCAACAACTATTAATTGATAAGATTTTTATGCAGCAACAATGAGCCACAGTGAACTCTATCAAGATTTACTATCAACCAGAGTATGGCAAAAACAGAAAGGCTCACCCAAGAATGATCAACATAGATAACATGACAAAGAAGACAACTGCAGATTCCTGCCTTGGACAGAAAGGAATGAAGAAGTGTGGTCAGGCTGTATGACTTACAGACTCCAGATTAAAAAAAAGAATCCTTGAGCTTTACTTTCAAATATATTAGTTTTTTTTTTTTAATATATATAGTTTTACAGATTACTAAATATTCTTGGTTATATAACGTAGTCGTTTTATTGAAAGCCTCAATAAAGTTGTGGACTATGAATGAGAATTATTCATAAATACATAATGGAAAAATGTACTTCTCTGGAAACTAATTATAATACTTTTGGAAATAATTATTGAAATCTACCAACGTATATTAACAATTTGTTTAGATTTGTTAATCAAATGCACTTCTGTCATAACTGCTGCCAATTAGTTTAATAATTACTAAGCATTATATCAAGTATGAATGAGATCAATTTTGTATTTATTATTAAGAAACTAATCTGATTCTATTAATTATAGCCTATTATTATTATTATTATTTAGTTATTTCAAGCTACTCAATTTTGTTGTCCTTTCTCATTTTCGGTTTTAAGAATATTTTAAAAAGAAAGAAATAGAACC